GTCAAGCGGTTTAAGCAGAATCGTGATTACTCAATGGTCATATTTTATGAAACACCCTGTATAAATTTATAAAAAATCTTAAAATATGTAAAACAACAAAATAAAATATACGTGTTTAAGAGTTTTTCCGAAAAACTCACCGGTTTTTAAATAAAAAATATTTTAATATTTGATGGATAGTTTAACCCCCTTAGAATTCGAGTTTCGAAAAATCCCTTCTTATCGAACCTCTACACCCTAAAGTCAATCTGTTTTCCAAAAATCAGCCTTTTACGTCAAGCGCTTTAAGCAGGATCGTGATTAAACAATGACCAGATTTTTCGAAACACCCTGTATACATTTTTAAAAATCTTAAAATATTGTAATATTGGAGGGGTGGTTTCACCCTCTTGGAACTGGAATTTCGAAAAATCCCTTCTTATCGAACCTCTACACCCTAGAATCAACCTGTATGCCAAAATTGAGCTTCTTACGTTGAGTGGTTTGAGCAGGATCGTGATTAATCAGTATCTTAAGGATTTTATACCTATATTAGTATAGATTAAATTAGATAAACGTTGTGTGTCATTGAATTTTTTTCAAACAAAAAAACCTAATTGCGAAAATTCGATTTTTTTCGGAAATCTTCCAAAATTAAATGTTTTTTTTATTATTTTTTACATTTCTTTAATTTCGCCCATTCTAAAACCCGCTAGATTTTTTTTCGCTGATTCACTTTAACTATTTTTTTTTATGTGGGTTTTCAAATCAAAAAGTGGTGCCCGGTGGCGTAGAGGTACAGGCTCTCGTCTACCAATCTTAAGGTTGTGGGTTGGAATCCTACACCCGGCATTTTATCAGCCGACCATTTTTATTAAAATAAAAATAGTTTTGGGTACCTAGGTCGACTCAGTTTTAAATGAGTACTTGGGATTCACAATCCTGAGGTAATAATAAGCGGTTGAAGAGTAGACCGAACAACTCTAGCATCGCAAGCTGTACCTTGCTACTCCCAAGGCGTTAAACGCTATATACGGGAGCTATTATTATTATTATTTTCAAATAATTTATTTTGAAAATTAATTTTTTACTTTTTTTTCAGGTAAGTCATAGATGTTAAGAAAAAGAAACCCACTGAGAAAGACAAATTGGTGAGCAATTATTTTAGTATCCATATTTTTAAGTAGGTATATTATTTAGAATTTCTTTGAATTACTTTCTAATCTTTCATTAAATCATGCGATTACCCTCTCTTATATTATACAGGGTGTACACTTTTTCCATGTTTTTTGTTGAAAAGTAACGTCTTAAAATATGGCCACTTTATACCTGCATTGAAAAGTCAGTGAACTTGACTAGTCCGTATTTTCTAAAATAGTATTACTGTTGTTACACGTATTAAACTGGGGTATACCTTTCTAGAAGAATATTTAATTATTTTTTGGTATCTCATCCTTTTACGTGGATTTTTTTAGATTAAAGTAGGGCACCTAACTAAAATTCTTGTAAAATGAATTAAAATGTTTCCACACAATTAGCTTTTTTTCGTTTTGTAACTAACAGGTTCGAAACTGATAACAGGAAATTAGATTTTGATGGTAAACATGAAAACCTCTCAAGCTGCTATTAAAATTTCCATCCCATTTTCTCGTTAGCAATCTCAAGCGTTTTAATTGTACCTAGCTAGTAAAGTGTTTTTCTTATATTACGTAACGCTCAGGTACTAGTATTGATTAAATCTCTCTCTTAACAACTGGCGGGAACTCTAAAGAATTGTTTCTTCTTGTTTGTCAAGAATATCCTAAAAGGAATATCTCTAGGTTACACCAAATATATTTTCTGTTACTGTAATTCACATGGGTGCTTGTGTAATATAAAACCATAAGAAACATCTCGTCAGTGTATCTCAGAAACCACTTATCGTATAACTTTGGGATAAAAATTTTAATAAGTAAATCGGCCAAGAGAAATCGCTTGAAATTATTTTCAAGTTCGAAAAATGTCCGATAGGGGCGCATCTGTGATGGTCAATCAGAAAACAGGATTTTTCTCAAAAATATGCAGGTGAAGAGGTATTTTAAATATTGGTATTGTAATCAATGTGAACTTTGTATTTCTTTATATAGCGTATTTTGCTCTATTTCATAAAATAAAGTGGTGGGTGGAGGTTAAACTTGCTTTTAGTAAAATAAAGGTAACTCTGGTTTAGGTTAGCCGTAGGGCCCGTATAAAAGAGCTAATGACCTAATGATCTCCAGTGTAAATTTTGATTCCATAGATTTTTTTGTTGTACCGATGACATCGACATCATAACAGATATGCGCTTTTACATAAAACATTTAAATGGCAGGCTATATTTCTTTTTACACTGTTAGATAGACCACAAAATTTCTAAAATATCAACGCAAACCGCAACTTTCTATCTTCTCTCTAACGAGAGATATTAAGAAAACAAATCATGTTAGGTTGCCACTTAGAATTATTATAAGGTCTAAGAATTATAAAAATTGGCTAGGAAACAAAAAGATTGTTTTTGAAAAAATGTAACTAAGAAAAATAAAAATGAAACAAGGCCAGGTTTATCCATATTTATTTTTAGTATCATAACCTGCCGCGAATACATCATTTGTGCACCTACCTCGGTTTTGGAATGTCATTTCGATCGATCTCAATTAGGAGTCCATCCTGTCGATTACTGGACAGTCGGTCGGAACCTTTTCCTAATTTCCTGTCCCATTTTTTTTATTTTCGTCATTTATTCCCACCGATGGAATCACGAAAATAAAGAGAAATAAAGCCATTGTGCTTCATAACACAAACATACCGTACTAAAATTTATATTTTCTTCTTTTTCCTACATTATAATTATTTTTAAATTATTTAAGTATTAGGTATTACTGTTATTATTTAAACAAGAGATAAACTACTGGTCTTGGTAATAAAAGCAAACTGGTCTTGCACAAAAAGTAAGATCAAGACTAGACCTCCGGGGTCTTGCATTTTTTTCATGATTTTGTAATATAAAAAATTACTAATTTGTCCAAAATAATTATAATGTCTTGGCAATTGCACGATATGACATTTTACAGGATGGTCCAAACTGTATTCCCGAAACTTCAGTAGCATATTCTGCATGTCAAAATAAACAAAAAAAGTTCGTATGAACTTATGTCCTAAAATGCTTCATTTCGAAGATACAGAGTGTAGAAGTTTCATTTTTATTTCGATTTCTTCTCGATTTCTTCGAAATAATTTTTGAACTAATGTGGATATTTGGGTGAAAATTAGTATCTGGAGGTTTTTAACATGAGACATTTGATTTCGATGTCAATATGACTCCTACTTGTAGGGGGCGCCACCTACATGTTTTTTACTGTTTTGAAGAATAACTTTTCTTCCGTCTCTGTAATTACACTACTGAGTGAAAAAATATACATTTACGCCTTATTTTACGTCTCTTGGTAAAAATCGCTGCAAGCAACAATTCTCAAGTTATTTGAATTCTTAATAATCAATACATGCCATCAATGACAAAAGTTAAACATGTTCTCTAGATAGATATATGAGTAAATTAATAATTTTAGAAACGTGTTTTAGATACCAAAGGTTCAACAGAAGCAGTTTTAAAGCCTAAATGTCAATTTTTTTGAAATTTCGTAATTTTTGACAAATATATGTTTTTCTCTAAAAAAACTGCTTGATTTAATCTAAATACGATTTTTCAGAAATCTCTAGAAGACTTAGGTTTTAAAACAGCGTTAGTTGAACCTATAATAGGTACTAAAATATCTGGAAAATTATTTGTTCAGTCAAGTATCTTTCTAGTGAAAAATCTTTAATTTTTCTCATTGAAGACATTGATTTTAGTTCAGAAACTTATCAGGAAAAAATCGAAATAGAAATGAAACTTCTACACTCTACACCCTGTATCTCCGAAACGAGGCATTTTAGGGCATACATTTATACGGACTTTTTTACTTATTTTTATGTGCAGAATATGCTGCCGGAGTTTCCGGAACACAATTCTACAGTACAGTACCACCCTGTATATTAATTAAAAAAAAACTTTATTGTGAAGGGCGCTGTTTAGATTTACTTAGTACATAATTGAAATGGTAGATTGTTTTTTTTATAATTATGGTGCCGTGCAATTGCCAAGTCATTATAATTATTACAGAAATAAAGATGTCTAATATTGGTTATTAATACTAACGATTTATAACAAAATTGATGAATGGGCGCTTAAAGAGAAACTAAATAAAATAAACTTACTTGATTATACATGAGATCTTATTATAACTTTTATTAGTGGAAGAATTGTGTTGTTTTATTAAGTTGAGCGTAATTTATTTATTTAGATATAAAATTAATCTTCAAATTTGAAAAATGTAAATGTTCTGTACTAAAAAAACCTTACTTTGTGTTGTTGACACGTTCATGGGGCATCTTTAGTGACGAAACTAGTCCAAACAGTCCAAACGGTTTTTGTTTTTCCAGATAAATGTATTTTTAACACGGTGTGGAGAGCGCAACTTGATTTATTTGTAGTGTTGGTGCCAATTCTGTCATTTTTATTCATTTATTTTTAGTTGTGTTTTCGAAATATGTATGTCAGGCACATATGTATGAATATTAGTCATTAGGTGTGAAATTTTTCATATATTCTGTTTATTTTTATAAACATCTGGTTTTTATTAATCTAGTACATAAACAAAAAAAATATATTTTGTGACTGGAAATTTGAACTAGCAACGATCGTTTAAATTTGCATTCTACAGACCTTAAACGAATGTACAATACTTATTCTAATAAAACAGCAACGAGTTATTTACATAGAATATTTTTACGGTAAACTATTTAGTACAAAGCGTTAACTAGACGTGTTGTAGGACCTTAACTGTAAATGTTGGACTACATTTTGTTTTATTTATTTTACTGGGTCAAGAGTCAGAGCTTTGAACCACAATATGAGTCGTTTGTTTCTTTTAATTGGTAAGGTAAATAAAGCAATTATTATTATAAATATTAATATGTTTTTTATTATTACATTTTAAGCACACAACTGTTTTTTACAATAATAAATACTTATTAATAGTTTTACAGTAATATTCACTTAACTAATTTCACTTCTAATAGTCTTATTATACATGTACATAATGTAATACACTTGTATATTGTTTATGCTTAATGACTAATACAAAATATAATTAATAACTTTTAATATACAGGGTGGGTCCGAATTGTATTCGGGAAACTTCGGCAGAATATTCTACCGATAAAAATAAGTAAAAAAAATGTATAAATGTATGTTATAAAATGCTTCCTTTCGAAAATACAGGGTGTAGAAGTTTTATTTCAATTTTTTCAAAATAATTTTTAAACCAAGGTCGATATTTGGATGAAAATTGGTGTTTGGGACTTTTTTAACATGGGAAATTTGATTTCGACGTCAATATGACTCCTGCGTGTAGGGGACGCCACCTACATATTTTTTAACTGGTTTGAAGAGTAATATCTCGTTATCTGTATCTAAACAGGTAAAAAATATACATTTTCGCAGTTTTTAGGTAAAAAGGCCTCTTGATAAAAATCTCTAAAAATGAACGTGTCGACTAGATAGTTCAATTGGTAAATCTGGGAACTTTATTTTTTTTAAATTAATCATAATTTTTTCTAGAAAAAAATTAAATAGTTTCCGTTGAGTCTTTGGTACAAAAACATTTCAAATTTTTGAATTCAGTCCAATCTAGTCAACATGATGAATTTTTGTCAATGATAGCAATCGAAATAATCAATAATTTCGATTCCAAATATTTAGAGGGATTTTTAACAAGATATCATTTTTACGTAGAAAATGACGGAAATATTATGACTCTTCAAACTAGTTAAAAAATATGTAGGAGTTTAAAATTAAATTTCTCATGTCAAAAAACACCCAGACACCAATTTTCATCTAAATATTTACATTAGTTCAGAATTATTTGGAAAAAATCGAATGAAACTTCTACACCCTGTATCTTCGAAACGAAGCATTTTAGGACAAAAATGTATACGAACTGTTTTACTTATTTTTATCGGTAGAATATGCTGGCAAAGTTTTACGAATACAATTCGGACCACCCTGTATGCTTTTTAAATGTAAATTGATAAATTAAAATTAGATAGTAATTTATAAATTAAAATTAGATTAATTAAAAATAAATAATTTGTAATATTTAATAAGTATTAAATATTTAATATGATTTATTAGTTTTAAAGATGAACTGTGACACTGTTGCTCAATGATAGAGCCTTCGACAATCTATCACCCAAGTCTTTGCTAACGTTGGCGAATACCTTGACAGCTCTTTTTTGAATATCCGCTGTGGCGCATCTTATCGACCCAGCCAAGTTGTTTACCTGAAATAATATATTACGATGTATAACACGTCAATTTTGTATAATTTAGTTGATTTTTATAGCCCATTCTCTCAGAAATGGAACATTTCTATTATGTTTTGAAAAACGTATGAAAAAAATAACTCCTAAATAAGGCCTATCCCCCACGGTGTATATATTTTGAGACAAAGAGACTATTTTGAGACAAAAGTTAGAAACTACACACGGTTACAACTTCTGAATCGCTTTCAATTAGTTGGTGTAGATGTTCAATTTAATAATTTCTACAATATCAAATTTCGAGTATTCAGAATCAGATGATGATGACATCATTGTTAATAACAATTCAGTACCTCAAATACGTTCGCCATACCTAACCTATGAAATAGTCCGAAACTTAGGATAATGTCGAGGATAATGTAGAAAATGACACAAACCAACTAAAATTTTCCATAGAGCAGATGGAACTATTTCAACGAACAATATCCAATAATTGAGAGCAAAATAAAACAATTAACTTTTTAATTCAAATGACACTCCCCCTAACAACTGTCACCGCCATATTAGATTCTCTCCTTGGTTAAACTCTATAATAATACACCACAATATGATTTTGTATAAGAATTTATTATAATGTATTTTGGCGTATGTGATTAAATTAATACAAATTTAAACTTACCAATCTTTGTTTGGCAGCATCATCCAAAACCTTCTCCCAGAACACCCCCGGTTGGGAATAATTATCCTCTTCGTAATATTCCGGATAGTAATCTTCTTTTCCTGAGAATTCTTGTGGCGGTGGAGTCCATTGTGCCGCTTCTGGATCAGGGTTGGGTCCACCAAAACTGTTAGGATAGTAATTGGGTGCGCCGTTTTGGCTAAAGATGCACATGAGCCCGTCCCTTTGGAAATTAGCAGCCTATAGAGATAGTAAAGAAATGTTAGCTTGACTTGCTTATTAACCGTTTATGACTTGAATCAAAGAATATCATACGCTCATACGAAGTTTCATCTCGCATCAAAATGGTGTCCCGGAAATAAGTGCAAGTATTTTAAGGGGTGGTAGATCTGGTCAAAAGAAACACATATTTTCTCATTATCGTTTTTAAAATAAATTGATAATAACCGAGTTATTTAACTTTGAAAATTTAAAAAAATAATAAACCCACAAACACATATAACATAATGTTTACTATAATTAATAAACTAAAATAAACTTGTCAAAAAATGACCACATATTTTTTAAAATTATCATTCGTAACACTAAAACTATCTATGTATATTGACTACGGCTGAAATCGTACTAAACCTAATTTATACTTCCTTGGTCAATAAAATGTAAAAAACCGTTCTTTTTATGGTTTTCAAAATATTACTTCTTATATACAGGGTTGTTCACCATATACGACACGGAGTATTGTAGCTAAACGATGAGATTTTTACAAATTGTAAGTTTGGAGTTCGTTGAAGGACTATTAGAGCTACAATTTAAAAATATTTTTACAAGATACAGAGTGTCCCAAATAAATAAAAAATATCAAAGTTGTATTTTTTTAAATGGAACACCCTGTATATTATTACATTTTTAGTTTCTACGATTAAAATAGAGGTAAATTTGATTAAGGTTTATTATGCTTAAACCTTACCGTTTTTGAAAAATATTTTCAATTTTGTGAAATTGCAGTAAAAATTTTAAAGCTTCATTTCTTTAAGGGTATCAATGTTTTTAATACTAAATATTTAATGAAGTTTATTTATTGATCAGTTATTGTGTTGCAATAATAAAAATAATACTACCTTATACAGAGTGTCTAAAAAATTATTTTAAATAATTATTAGCTTCAAACGGCAATAACTTCTTTAATTTAAATGGAATGCCCTGTATATTTTAGGAGAATCAGATGCACAATTAAATTGTCTATCAAATTGTATTATACCATTTTTTACCTATCCCTTCAAGTTTTCGTAGAAAATGCATTTTCTTATAATTTAGACCTCATTTATCAATATATCCATGGAATATTGACATTTTAGATTGTTTTTAAAGCAACAAATGTACAAAATGTACAGACTAGTAATATTATCTTTTTAGCAAAACGATAATATTACTAGCCCATTTGTATGCAAAAAGAAAACTATTTAAATCTTTATAAAAGAGTATAACATTAATTAAATATAACACCATTATTTCCGCCCATATACTAATTAATTACATACTTAATTGTGTTCGTTAATAAATGATTTTAAATAAATGTGGATTTGAGTCAGAAATCAATATAATAATAAGTTATCAAATTAAAGTCTCTGTTGTTATAAATAAGCATTTATTAAAAAATGAGATATCATTTTTAAGGTGTTACTTTTTATCACACTGTCTAATGCCCATACAAAATTCAGTTTTTAGTATTTGGAGCAATTATTATTAATCAACGCAAACAGTCAGTTAATGTAGTTTGCATACTGGAATCATATTAATTGATCCTCTTTAACAAATATTTAACAGTTTTTTTTATTTTTTAATGAAATAAACGAATTATATCGACATTATTAGTATCTGTACTCTTTAAAAATTTGGTACATCTTTAAAAATAATCTAAAATGTCAATAGTCGATAGTAGTATATTGATAAATAAGTTCTAAATTACAAGAAAATGCATTTTCTACGGAAACTTAAAGAGATAGGTAAAAAATGGTATAATATAATTTGATAGACAATTAAATTGTGCATCTGATTCTCATAAAATATACAGGGTGCTCCATTTAAATTAAACAAGTTATTGCCGTTTGAAGCTAATAATTATTTAAAATAAATTTTTAGACACTCTGGATAAGGTAGTATTATTTTTATTATTGCAACACAATAACTGATCAGTAAATAAACTTTAGTAAATATTTAGTATTAAAAACTTTGATACCCTTGGAGAAATGAAGCCTTAAAATTTTTACTGCAATTTCACAAAATTGAAAATATTTCAAAAACGGTAAGGTTTAAGTATAATAAACCTTAATCAAATTTACCTTTATTTTAATCGTAGAAACTAAAAATGTAATAATATACAGGGTGTTACATTTAAAAAATACAACTTTGATATTTTTTACTTATTTGGGACACTCTGTATCTTGTAAAATTATTTTTAAATTGTACCTCTAATAGTCCTTCATCGAACCCAAAACTTACAATTTGTAAAAATTTTATCGTTTAGCTACAATACTCCGTGTCGTATGTGGTGAACAACCCTGTATACATGATTTTTTTTAAACGGGGAAAACAAATAACAAATTAGTTTAACAGACTAAAATACACTTGATTTAAGTTTTTTATGTCAGTTCTATCATTCATAGATTGAGGTTCTTTTTTAATATAGATCATTTCCAAAAATTCTCTTTTATGTTTGTTGTATTCAGTGGCTAAAATTTTGGTCTTCTGATAATTCATTTTGTGATTTGTTGTGTTTTCATGTTTAGTCAGAGCAGTTATATTTTTTTATCATACTTGTGTCCTTTTAACCGATTCTCTAGATATTGTGCTGTTTGACCAATATAAACGTTTGAGAAGTGTTGACAAGGAATTTGGTATACAATATGAGTTTTTTTATTAGTAGGTATTTTACTCTTTAGGCGACTAAAATGCTTTTTTCATTATTAAGTATAATTATTTGAGTTTACTAAACTGTAAAAAAGGTATTTTTTTTTGGCTAGTATTGAAATGAAATGGCAATACTCTAACGTATGTGTATGTAATAATCCAAAATTCTAATCTAATCCTAATATCCGTTCTCAATAAATGACTAACATACCAACGTCGCAAATTACAAATGTGTGTAAGGTCTGTCTATATTGCTAATATTGCAAATCAAAATAAAATTAAGTCTTTACAATACCGTAGTCGACGTAGAAAAAAAATTTAATTTCCATTTATTCTTTATTTTTTTATTTTGTTAATTTAATGGTTCCAAGTTTACGTATAATATATTTTACAATTAATAGAACATTACGACGATTCTGCTTGAAAAAAATCCGCTTTAGTTATTTCACAAAACAATTTTCCACGTACCTAGTTTAATGAACAGTGAATAAAATTAATTTAAGTATTTTTTGAAATTTAAAAATGTGAACTTATAACTTATAAACATAGTGAATGTGGATAGCGTAAGGTGGCAACATTGTATTCTCTCGAAGCACTATAAACAAATTTCCGGAAACTGAAAAGTTTTTTATATTTCAAAAGTTTTTTATATTTTCCGGAAAATGTCAAGAAAAATATAAAAATTTCAATTTTTTTCGCAAAAAAACCTCATAGGCGCGTTTCTGGAGTCGAACTATACTACCACTTGCACTTATTTCTGGGATACCTTGTATATGAAGAAATGAAAGATTTAGGATGCTCATACTACTTTTCATACTGAAATGTTAGATCGTTATCCGGTATTTACCATAGATAGATGATAGATCATGATGATTTTGTTTATCTCGGATCAAACATAAACGACGAAGGCAATTGTAAAATAGAAATTAAACGCAGAAAACAGTTAGCAAAAACTGCCACAACGCGCCTTACAAAAACATGGCAAGACCGAATAATAACAACCCACACAAAAAAGAATTTGCTGCATACAATTGTCTTCTCAATATTTCCTGGACCTGGTGCTACAGACGTATGCTGAGAATACCTTGGACAGCTAGAAGAACGAATCTATCAATAATAAATGAGCTTAACATAAGCACCCGACGGATTGTCGGATTTCTGTCTGAGACGCATCCTCGAGTACCTACTTGGGACACATAGCTCGAAGACCTGACGACAACATGGAAAAAATTATTATAACTGGTGATGTCCAACTAAAAAGATGTAGAGGTGGGTCCCAACAAGATGGATCGACCAAATCAGACATACAACGGGTCTACCCAATGACTAAAGAATTCAAGGACAAATAACACCCGAGAGCAAATTGTTACGATGTCACCAAACAGTGCCGTGGCACATATTTTTCTTAACTTAGCTGTTTGAAGAGATAATTATATTTTTTGATACATTGTTTTGACTACGCCTATGGTGTATATGGTGGTATCATACTAATTAATTACGAAAAAAACGTATTAAAATGTTAACAAAGGTACAAAACTAGTATCGACGTATAGCACACATCAAGTACAGGGTGAGTCAACGATAGAGTAACGTCCATTATCTCATTTGTTTCCAGGTTTACAAAAAAATATTAAATACAAAAGTTCTAGGGACGGTTAAGATACACATTTTAAAATTATTACAGAGTATACAGAGTGCTTCAAAAAAGTTTGTAAGAAAACTAAGAAAACGCTAAAAAGGTAGAGCGGACTGTTTATTTATCTATGAAACGTAACTCCTGGCTTTTTTTATCGCTGCGGCTTTTACACTTGAAAGTTGAACAACTAATCGCCATTGTAATAAAGTTTATACAAAGTTCACTATACACAAACTATAAAAAATCGTTAAAATTGTCGCTGATGACCAGCTGATGACTCATTCGTCGCTTTAAAAAAAATGGCGTCTAATGTCACAAATTCTGCTGCAGCCCGTATATGGGTGTTACATGTCCTTATATTCTTTAGTCATTGAGTCTACCCCTACACTCAGCTATCCATCGAGCTGAAGACAGATTAACCTGGAAAGATCTTGTCAAACAAAAAGTATTCTCATAAAAGACAACCCTCAGCTATGAGGAACGATTGGAGAGAGTGATGATAGATACGAATTAGTTTGTGATCTATATACTCTAATCTAGAATCGACAACACTCTGTATATCGATTACATCTTTAACGAGACATTTAAGAGCGCCAAGCCAAGAATCCAGACACAGCCGATACTGTCATCTCTATCGTGTACCAGTCGGACAAAATTAATGATTTATAGAAGCCGAACATCCGGCGTGTCCATTAAAATTATTAGTGTTGCATTAGTGGACTTAATAAACGTCGTTAGAATTAATTAAGATGATTTTACATCTCTAAAGATTAAACTTGAAATAATTGATGTTCGGAAGGAGAACTGTTATTCATATATTATACAAAAATGTCAATTAATATAATATTTAAATATTATGTTTTTTTCAATAGTAGGGGGTCAAGTGGTAAAAATGAGATATTTTTCAAAACTATGTTTTTTTCTTAGTTGCAAACATTTAAATACAAAAGCATTTCTTCTATAAAAGGCATTTGGTGGTAACGAAACTATTATAAAACTAAAAATATACCTACCAAAAGTGCCTCTAAAAAAATTCAGTATGCAGAAAAGAGTGTCTCATATTTATCTCATAAAAAGTTTGAAAATGAGACATGCTGAATTAAATATGAGTCACAAAAGGCACGTTTTATATATAAAAATGAAGAAAATTATGGCGGGGGTAGTTAATAAGAGACATTAAAATATTAGTAACTCTAATGTCACTTAAAGAGTGGAACAAAACACATACAAATATACCAATTAACGAACTAAATATTTCCCAAAATCTATTGACAGAGCAAGCATGGTTATCAGAAGTCCTAGAAGTCCCGCATTGCAAGTTTGATGGTGGTAATTTTAAAATGATGTCTTTCTTTAAAACATTATTTATCTCCGTAACTACGGTTTTGATAAATGTGAATAGCTTTAGCTCTGCATATATTATGGTTACATGTCCGCTGCTGACTAACTAACCGTGCAGTCGTTTTAAGATCTTTTTCTGTATACTTGATTGTTTTCTTTGCATTTATTGTAATTTTTGAGTTGTGGCTAAAATTTAAAAATATACATGCTATTGAGTTGGCTCACACCTCCAAAAAAATAGTTTTTTTTATACCAACAGGACTTAATTTAAACATATTTAAAATAATTTCCATCCGAATTACTAAAAGCGCTTGGAAGAAAATTATAGGCACTCATAACTTTGACTGATTTTGATGTTATTACAAATTTTGTTGCAAATATTATTCCTAATCTTAAATTGAAAACCGCGTTTCGCTAAGTACTGTAATTTTGGAGTTACGATTGTTTAAAATTTTTAACCCCCTCTCATACCCCCTTACCAACCCCCCACCCTCACCAGAAACTAATAGCCAGATTCTAGGGTGCCACAGTATTTTTGTGCCAAATTTGGTTAAAATCGGTTTAGCGGTTTTTGAGTTATCGTGTTACAGACAGACGGACAGACAGACAGACACCATGAAAATATTTTGTATTTAGGTCATTTATGACCCAAATAACTCATTTTGAATAAAATTAAAAATTTTTTTTTGTCGATCTTAATAGCCTACCATACCTGTTGGTAGACAAGGCATCACATGAGAGGGCACATGTTTTTTAAAACATCCTGTGCAGTATAATTTGTTGATGAATTTACTAAAATTTCAGTTTTCTGAGCTACTCAATTTTATACTTACACCATTGGGTGGTCTATTAACCATCAGCTGTTGGAAATTGGTACCCAGACGGTACCTATGGGCGTCTTGGTAGGAAAACATGCGACCTTGCAGCAATCTGTCAGGCGAATCTCCTATACCGGGTGTTAAATTGTTAGGACTGAACGCCAATTGTTCCACTTCAGCGAAGTAGTTGGTTGGGTTGCGATTCAGTTCGAATTCTCCCACTTTTCTCAAAGGAAAATCTGCATGAGGCCAAACCTAAAAACAAGAATGTTGTACAGGGTGGTCAAATACTATGGATACATATTTAACATAGATTTTTTAATAAAATAATAAAAAAATGTGACTTAATTATACAGGGTGCCCCAGAAATAAGTGTAAGTATTTTAACTGGTAGTATAATTCGACCCCAGAAACACGCCCATGAAGTTTTTTTGCAAAAAATATGTTGAAAATTTTATATTCTTGACATTTTCCGGAAAATATTGAAAAGCTCTTGAGTGCCAAATTACTGGTTAGTTTTAAAACTAGCCAAGTACCTATTATTCTAGTCGTAATAAATATAATAATTCTGATCTACTCTAGACTAATCTGTTGTTTTACGGATATTATTAGTTGAAGTAATTACCCACTCATACTTTCGTTATCGTATTCTTTCAATACCATAAAACATGCGTTTACGACTATACCAGATAATAAAATACATGTAGTAATATTAAATCTGTCTGAATAATGATTTTATTAATTTACGATTAAAAAAATTCTGTTGTAATTTTATTATCCCTAACAGGTGGTGGCCTTACTATATGATAATAAACAAAATAAATCTATTATTATCCCACAATAAATACAAAAAAACAAATCAAGATCATTTACATTTAGATCTTAATCAAATAAAGTTGTAATTTTTTTTTAATTCTCTTGATCTACCTTAAACATAGTTAAATTAATTTGTCATCAATAAGATGGATATGTAATAAAAATGTCTAGAAAGATTAAAATATTTCTTTCATATTTTTTAAAGGATTAAGTATACTTTTGTAGATATTTAAGCTTTAAGCATTTAAATTAAAAAGAGTACTTACAGAATGAATCAGATATTAGTTATTTATTTGCAGAATGTTTAGAATTTTAAGATATGAATGTTGTACGTTAGAAAATGATGATTTGATGATTAATAAAAATATAAATAAAAAAACTCACAACTAACCTTGGTGATGTCAAAAGGATCAAAGGTTAAAGCTTTTGCTTGTTCTGGTGTCATCAACTGTACGTAGAACGTCCATTTTGGATAATCCTGTGCAGCGATGGCATTGTATAGGTCTCTAATGGAATAATCTGGATCTGTGCCCGCTATTGTCGCAGCGTCATTTGGATCCAAATTATCAATTCCTAAAAAAGAATAAATTTCGAAAAAAAAATATCGCCAAGTAATAGTTAAATAGGAAGCAGTTAATTTTATTTTTTTTAAAAACTTGTTTATGAAAAAATGTAAAAGCCCATACTGCTCTCAATCTCGTTTTACTTTAATTTTTTGATTTAACTTTTCGAAAATGGAAAAAAAACTGGCATTAAATTAAACTACGAAATGGTTACCTTGGTTGGTTTTGTATATAAATTTGCACCATGTTAGTTTTCTGTCCTTATTTATAAGAGAAAAAGTGTGGGATCCATAACCATGTTGGTGTCTATGACCATTCGGGATTCCTCTGTCAGAAAACAGAAACATAACCTAAAAAATTAGCTTTTTTTAGTGGTAGATTAGAATAAATAAATAAATAAATGCCTTTATTGTCAAAAAATTTTACAATTTATAGACAAAGGTAAAATAAGCAAACAAAGTAAACAAACAAGGTACACAAACAAACAAACAAAAGATAATACAAAACATTATACAAATAATATTGTCTTATTGTTTAAAATAAACATTTATATAATTGTTTACAATGTCAAAGAATAAAAAAAGTAAAAATAATATTCAAAAATATTTAGTTAGTTTATAGTAAAAATATCAATGACCTCTAAATAAATTTATTTCGGTGTCATTGGTAAATATAGCAATAGCCAACATTAGACCAGTGTTTACAAGATCAAATTCGATTATCAAAATATAATTCATTCACGGCGTAGAAAGCCTTGTCTAGTAAATAAGAGTTCAATGCTTTGCGAAATGAAGAAAATGATGTTATGGATTTGATTTCAAATGGTAGGTGATTATGCATTTTTTTCGAGTTGTATAATATTGAACTTTTAACTAACTCTGAGCGTGGGGTAGGTAGATAAAGGTCTTGCTCCGCGTTCCTGAGTGGATAAGTGTGAGATGGCCTTTCTTGAGAAGCTGATACATGCTTACGTATTAGGCAAACATATTCAAATATAAATAAGGAAGGAAGAGTTAATATTTTTAATTTTTTAAAAAAGTCCTGGCAATGAGTTCTGGTGTTTAGTCCCAGTGAATATCGAACAGCTCTCTTGAGCTGTTCGATATTCACTGGGAAGCGTGGAGCTTGAAAATGCGGTCAAATTGAGTCGCACAACACGTACCCCAGAATGGAAAGGCATACCTGAGGTGCGACTCAAAAAGTGCATAATAAACAGTTCTAGCCACTGACAAGTTAAGCTCCTTAGAAACAGATCTTAACGCAAAACAGGCACAGCTCAATTTTTTCGACAAAGTTTCGATATGCATGTCCCATTTCAGAGAATTGTCCACAATAAGCCCTAAGAACTTTACAGATTTTACGACGTCAATGGTGGTGTTGTTAAGTACAAAAGGCTGCAGCGAGTTTTTATACGACAAAGCTTTAGCTTTAGAAATGTTGAGACTTAGGAGGTTCGAATCGCACCAAGATTTAATGGTGATTAAGTCATTTGATATAATCCTATGAAGTTCCGTGACGTCCTTGTTGCTCCAAGTGAAGCTAGTATCGTCGGCAAAAAGACATATTTTGCCACTGATTTTTATGTTAGCAATGTCGTTAATAAAAAGAAGAAACAAAATGGGGCCTAGCACTGAGCCTTGTGGTACTCCACATTCTATTGGCTTGCTAGAAGACAACGTGGTATCCCTCACAAGTTGACTGCTCAGATACGACTTAAACCATTCGAGAGATGTTCCCCTGAACCCATAGTGCTGCAGTTTATTAATTAGGATCTTATGATTTACACAGTCGAACGCCTTAGAAAATGTATGAAGTGTAGGAAGTCAATTACAAAAACATAAAATCTCTTCAGCCCAGCTGTATATTTTAATTTTATCAAGAAAGTTACAGTCAATATAATTGTAAAAAGTAATTGATTGTCTACTATTTTGATTTTATTAAGTTACAAAATTGGTGAATTTTTTAGGGTTTGCTAATCATTTACTGACTGTAACTGAAGTTATAGATCTACTGTGTCCCCCTTTCTTGGGTTATAACTCATGATAAGTCTCAAGGCTTTGACAAAAGCCAGTATCTAAGACGATTTTACAGAGGTTAGTTATCCGATATCAATTGTACCAATGAATGATACCATCCATTTTTTCCACAGAATCTGCATTCGCCGTTGTTTCTTAGGTCCAGTCTATTGAGTTACAGTAGTAGTTCATTGAGAAAACAGTGTAATGTTAAAAACCCTGGGACAATCCAAAGATTGTTCTTACTTAAGTCAAGGAAAGACGTAAGTTCTGAGAAATTTCTTCAAGTGTCTTAGACCATTGGAGGATTCCCATTCCAGGTTACGGATGGAGTCTTCCAGGTTCTGAGTTCCGATTTAAGTTGGTTTCCACTAGATATATAACATAACTGACTTACTTGGTGTACACTCATGGGTGTTAGCGATAGATAATCCCAGAAAGCATCCCAATCCCTGAGATTCGTCACAGGATTTCTTTTCTGGCTGTGGATAAACATGGGAAACAACAACGGGTCTCTCATGAAGAATATGGGAGTGTTGTTTCCTACCAAGTCCCATATTCCTTCGTCCGTGTAGAATTTTAGGGCAAAACCTATTGAAATACAAATTACAAACTGTAGTGCGATGTTTAAATAATATAATTATCTCATAAACCAGAAGGGTACATAGATGATTAAACTAGAGTATTTTCGAAATCTGATTACTTCCGAAGTTTTGTGCAAAATCCGAATTCTCCCGATTTGGTTTCTATTTTTTATGACTCTGTTTGAAAAGATATAGAATTCATTTATACATTTATTAGAATATTGTATTAATACAAATTTTACATTCCAATGGTTGCTTAGAAACGAATCATCAGGTTGACAATGTAATGAAATTAACTTGTAGAGTATGAAAAGTGGCAATGGAAATGTGAAATTTGTATTGTCATATTTTTCTTTTCACTAGTCAGAAAAATTAAAAACAAGTTTCCCAAATATCTTCCAAAGTAAGGGAAAGGCGTAATTTCTTGTAATTTAATAATTTTTGTATCTTTTCTGGTTTACCAGATCCCACTTCTGATATGGGATAGCGTGTATACATTCTTAACATATGTGTATACATTTGGATCAATATGGAACTATGTATGCTTGAACTATCAAACAGGGACCACAAGGGTAGATAAGAATAAGACAGATAACCCAGGTAACTGACGTGATAAACGTAAATAATTAAATTCATCAAATTAGAAGAGACTGAAATGCCACCAAAATTACACAATATATCCCCGAGTTACCGGAAACATGTAAAATGGAACAAAATGACATCACACAGCGCAACAACAAAATTTTGACATAATGGGCACACATGGACGAATAATATACAAGCGAAACATCCCTATAACTGTAGTTCATGATCATGTTGATTGATTGTTCTTGATTGATGATGATAATAATATAATATATTCCTACCTCTTGGATCTCTTACAGTGTCGGCAGATCCCATATTACCAGCAACTGTTGAAAATCTAAGATAATAATATAATGTTTAGATCAGAAACAAATCATTTCACGGTGTTTAATAAATGGTGAACAATATAGGAAACAATTAAGGTTGTCTTACCGCACTGCTATTTTTGTTATTTTGCCTTTTACAAACACTTTAGAACTGGTGAATTCTTCCAAAGAATCTGTGCAGATAAAATCCCCAAATGCACCAGCGCCTTTGGCATGCACTATTCTTTCAGGAATACGTTCCCTATAAAAAAGAGGCATTTTATCTTTCAGTAAAGGTACTTTCAGGTTGAGAGCGTCGAGCGTCGCGTCGCGTTTGCGTCGCGTCCGCGTGTCGAAATGGAATCAATTCACTTAACTTAAATTAGACCGTTCAGGCATACAGCGTCGCGTTTGGCGTTGCGCTAGCGTCCGCTGAGCGTCGAGGTTCGAGTTCAATGGGGCGAACGCGACGCAAACGTGACGCGACGCTCGACGCTCTCAGCCTGAATGTACCTTAATCCATACCTTACCAAAAATTTGGCTTTCGGATTTTTAATTTCTTAGTTATTGTTTAAAAATGTTCTTCTTGTCTGACTTAAAAAATAACTGAATTACCTATATAAGAATTTTTTTCCAATCTGGCTGTATTTATTTTGAATAAATTATATAAAATACCTAACCGATTTTTTTTAGAATAGTACCATTAAAATACAGCTTTATACAACAAAAATCGGCGTCAACGATGGCTCTGAAATTATATAGGAAATGTAATAAGTAATAACGTAATTAGTAGATTAGTTAGATTGTCATTTCCAAGCCAACTGGACGCCGTTTTTTTCGATCTTACTGTACTTAAAAATCATACTTTTACATGTTATATGCAAAAGTTATTTTTAAGTGAGAAATACATATATGAAAGTGACTCAGTTACCTGTGAAAGTGTCCTAAGTGTTCGACCAGCTGCCAATCTCTAAGGGGTATCAATCCCTTTTTGCCTATCGTCAAGCTCGTTTCTGGATTCACTATACCAATGCCTGCACTATTTCTGGCATAACAACATTGTGTGTCCTGTCAATAAAGAATATTTTTACAATACATAATAGATACGATATCAAATGTCCAAAAAAAAATAGTAAATAGTTTTTTTCTCGATAGATAGCTTGAAGTTGGTTTCTTGCAGAGGCTTTTTCCGGAATTACGGAATGAATTATTATATTTTCCAAACTCCCATACCGTTTTAGCGAAAGCAGTCCTAAGAATCAAAAGGCGTTTCTATGGTAATATTCCTATTTCATTCTTTGATAGATTGTTAGTGATAGACTTTTAATTAACGTCATTCACTGTTTTAAAATATTAAAGGAGTACTAAATTTATTTAGTTCAGTGCTACGGAAAGGGTGATAATAGTTATCGGAAAATGTGAAAGTTTATCAACAGCAAAAAATATGACGTTAATAAAAATTAATAAGAACCATCTATCCAAGAATGAAATTGAAATGATATTACCATAGAAACGCCTTTGGATTTTTAGGACTTATTTTTACTTTTTAGGAAAAGTATAAACGGGATTAACCTTTTTAGAACAAGCAAAATGATTTATGAAGAAAGCATTTTTCTTTAAATGGCAATAATTAAAAAGTGTTTCCTCTTGTAAAGACAATCCGGGAGCATAATGTATATAAAAAGCATTATTTTATACAGGGTGAGTCTTAAATAAGTGCATGAACATGAAGGCCTTGAAAAAATTGAAAATTTGGAATTTTTTGAAAAAAATTTTGAAATTTAGTTACTAATTACTAATTTGTTTTTAGTTAAAAAATATAATTTGTTGATAATATCGCTGGTTGATAGTATCACATAGGTAGTAGATTAAATATGGCAACGTATGTAGTAGATTAAATTTACAATAAAGAAAATCCAGAAATGATCCAGTGATTTTCAAAATTTTAGCAAAAAAAGTTTTTTTAAAACTGCTATTTTGGTTTTCAGTTTTTTAGATCCAGGCTCAAATGTTTGAAGCGTTATTTTACAAAAAAAATGTGTCCATTGAGTGAAATCATTGTTTTGTATCTCGTTTTTCGGGAAATAAAAATTAATATTTAATTTCAAAGAGAAAAAACACAAAAATAATTCGGGTAAGACAGGTTTTGTTGCAATTTGATGCATACAGGGTGGCGCCTCTCATACGCCGCGGAAGCTCCAAGGAGAACGGTAGTTTATATCGAAATGAAATTTTGGCAGCATACGTAGATTAACTGAAAGCATTTTATAAAAATATATAGAATTATACAGGATGTCCCCAAAAAAAGTCACACATCAAAGTTGTGTTTTTTCTAATGGAACACCCTATATATTAATTGATTTTCGGATTCTAGGAAAAAAATAAAGGTGAGTTTTATTAAGGAAGCATATACCTAAAATCTAAAGATTTTGACATATTTCACATTTTGTGAAAATGAAGAGTAAATTTTAAAATTCAATAACAGCTATCTAAATTTTAGTTGGCCCTGTATAGCCTGATATTTAATTACAGTAACCATGTATGTTAAACCAAATTGAAAGTTGAGCAAAAAGTTATACAGGGTGAGACAAAATTATTATGGAACATTAGTCACTTTTAAAAGCAAGTTATTCCTTTATTTTAAATGGAACACCCAGTATATTTTTCCGGTGTTCAATGGGGTATTTATATATCTTCAAAATATTATTAAGGTTGCCTACCACTCAGACAAAGATTTTCCTAGATATTTTAATTTTTATGATTTTGCGTCATTAGATCTTTATTATTTGAAAAAAATCTAGCTAGCTGTGTGGTATACCTTTTGCTAATTTAACAAAAATTAAAGATTGTAGAGTAAAATACTCAACGGAAATAAAAAGATACACATTTAAAACACGGAATATTGGAATTATATACTAGGTATTCCATTTAAAATAAAAGAGTAACATGCTTTTAAAGGTAACCAACTATATATTAGGCTATATCGGGTAAATTCCAATTTAGGTAGTTTTTATTGTAATTTAAAAATTGTTCTTTATTTCTAGAAAATGTTAAATATGCTAAAAACCTTACATTTTAGTCATATACTTCTCTTATAAAACTCGCCTTTATTTTTCTCCCAGAATCCGAAAATCAATTAATATATAGGGTGTTCCATTACAAAAAAACACAACTTGGATACGTAACTTTTTTTGGGGACACCCTGTAGAACTCTCTATATTTTTAAAAAGTGCTCTGAATTAACCTAAATATGCTCACGAAATTTCATTTCAAAACAAACTGTCCTTCTCCTTGGAGCCTCCGCGGCGTATGAGAGGCGCCACCCTGTAGATTGTATAATATGATGCATATTGATTTATTAGATAAAATGCTATTTTATTAAAATTAGGTAAGGATTTGAAATGAATAAGACGTCAGTATTAATATTATACTTGTGTAAAAAGCCTATATGAAAAAATGCGAGATTTGCAACAATAATGACAATAAAAAGCAAATATAAGTGGATAAGACGGATTTTGCTGCAGTAACTTAATTTGTAGTGAATTTTATATAGGAATGGGTGACTTTTCCTGCAGTTTGGGACTACGTTTAAGTAGATTTCAGGGTCCACTATTAATATACCCTGCTGGCAAGCGAAACCTTGGATCGGCGTTTACATAATCGCTATGGCAATCTAGGAAGTCGGAGAGAGCGAAAATACGAAATATTTTTTACATATCCACTTATCTGACGTTCCATGCGCTTGGGAAAATACTTGCCGTCTGTCTTTATTCAGTACATCTTATTTTGCAAAGCGTGTTGACCCGTACTCTTCGTACACACGAAAATCGGCACCCAAGACTAGAAATGCCAGCCCTAGTATGTTATTAGGCTATTTAAAAAAATGAATAAGGCGGGCTCATACAACAATAAATGTTCGAAATAAAACTTCTAACTTAATTTAATAAATAGAAAACGGAAAATTCTCAAGACGCTTCCTTCAGTTGGCGAAAATTCTGCGCCACCAGGTCTTCCCAACTCGATGCCTGTGCCTTTTTTCGTTGCTTGTGCACCGGGTTCAAAGACAAGCACGACCTCTGCAGCGAAGAGTGGGCCCGCGAGTCGTGTGGCTTCATTAATAAGCAATGCGAGGAATGCGCCGGCCGGCCGTTCCTCAGGATGCCAACGTTCCGGTACGGCTCCGTCTCGAAACGTTGGTCTCCCGCGGGCCATCGAAGATGATGTATAAATACCGCATGAGTTGCGGAGAGCTTTATTCAGCGAGAAGAGGGAAAATACTGCGATCTGGTACTGCTAAATTACCATCAGAGTGTATACAGGGTGAATCATTGTTCTGAGAAAGAGGTTCATATCGTCCCATTGCTGCCCAAAGTCACTAACTAACATTTTTCCGAACAACCAAATTCAATCACTAACTATGTTTTGAGTCGGAGAATCGATTGTAAAAGTCATTAACTACGATTTCTGGCTATTTATGTTTTATTTTAATACCGAATAGTTACTAACTATAACATCTTTATGCAATGCAATTCATCTTTAGACGCATTTTTCTCGGAAGTAACAAAAAGTAAGTTAGTGACTTTTGGCAGCAATGGGACGATATTATCAAGTTTCTTGGTTTGATATAATAATAATAATAATAATATGTCTTTATTGGGAGCAAATGTCCAGGGAGGGTTTACATTTGCCCAAATGCGAAGGTTACCATAAAGCTATTCTTTAGCCCTTAACCAATCATACAGGGTGGCGTCTCTCATACGACGCGGAGGCTCTAGGGAGGAGGTATTTCGGTAGTTTATATCGAAATAAAATTTAGCATGTTTCATCATTTAATTGAAAGCGTTTTATAAAAATGTACAGGGTTGTTCACCACATACGACACGGAGTCTTGTAGCTAAACGATTAGATTTTTGCATATTGTAAGTTTTGGGTTCGTTGAAGTACTATTAGGGCTACAATTCAAAAATATTTTTGCAAGATACAGAGTGTCCCAAAATAAATAAAAAATATCAAAGTTGTATTTTTTTTTAAATGGAATACCTTGTATTATTATATTTTTAGTTTCTACGATTAAAATATAGGTAAATTTGATTGAGGTTCACCGCATTTTAATCTTAACGTTTTTGAAATATTTATGTTTTTTTCAATATACAGTAATAATTTTAATGCTTCATTTCTCTAGGCGTATTAAAGTTTTTAAATCCAAATATTGTACTGAAGTTCTGCTATTTACTAAATTTTATGTTGCAATAATAAAAATTATACAACCTTATAAAGAGTGTCTAAAAATTTATTTTAAATAAATACTAGCTTTAAACGGCAATAACTTGTTTAATTTAAATGGAACACCCTGTATATTTTTTGAGAACAGATGCACAATTTAATTATCTATCAAATTGTATTATACCATTTTTTACCTATCTCAAGTTTTCGTAGAAAATGCATTTTCTTATAATTTAGACCTCATTTATCAATATACCCATGGAATATTGATATTTTAGATTATTTTTAAAGATGTAACAAATTTTTAAAGAGTATATATACTAATATTGTCGATATAGTTCGTTTATTTAATTAAAAAAATTAAAAAAAACTGTTTAAATTATTGTTAAAGAGTACCAATTAATTATGATCCCAGTATTCAAACTACATTAATTGACTGTTTACGTTGATTAATAATAATTGCTCCAAATACTAAAAAACTGAATTTTATATGTGTATTAGACAGTGTGGTAAAAAGTAACACCTTATAAATCTTATTTCATTTTGCGAATGCGTATTTATAACAACAGAGACGTTCATTTTCATAACTTATATTGATTTCTGAGTGACATCCACATTTATATAGAATAATTTATTAATTAAGATAATAAAGTATGTAATTAACTACTTTTGGGCGGAAATAATGGTGGTATATTTAATTGGTTTACAAATTACAAAGATTTAAATAGAAAAAATCTTTTTATATTTCTAGTAAGGAACCTTTGGCCTTAATAACAAATCTAAAAAAGATTTATGCATATTTAAGCATTTTTTTAAAACTCAAGTTTAAACTTTAGTTTTACATGATACACTATATAAGGTGAGTCTTAAATAAGTGCAGATATATCTAGGGGTAGTGTATTTCAACCCCAGAAACACCATTATGAAATTTTTCTCTCGAATTTTTTTTTTAATTTCGGATTTTTTTTTAGTTTTTAGTTAAAATACATAATTTCTTGATAATCTGGCAACATATGTAGTAGATTAAATTTACAAGAAAGAAAACCCAGAAAAGATAGAGTGGTTCTCAAAATTTAAGCAAAAAATCATTTTTTGGAAGTTTTCAAAGTAAAATAATCCCGTTATTTTGGAGTTATTTGAAAGATAAATATGAATTTTGTTTAAACTTTGAGAACCACTTTTCTAGGTATTCTTTCTTGTAAATTTAACCGACTACCTATGTTGCCGTATTATCAAGAAATTATAGGTTTTAACTAAAAACTAAAAAAAAGTCAAAAAATTACAAATTTTCAAAAAAAAATAGCGAAAAAAAACTCTAATCATGTTTCTGAGGTCGAAATATACTAACCCCTCGACTAACCCTAAAAATATTTGCACTTATTTAAGTATAACTCTGGTTTGCATATTTCTCTTTATTTTTAAAAATGGACCACACCAATTCAAAATAGAGCCACATTTAACCGGAATCACGAATGAACCCATTACTTTTTTATACCTTTCTGCCAGCGTGCGTGTGTGATTCACGTTGTAGGCGTGTTAAGCCTTTGAGACAAGACTGCAGAAGAGTCGTTAACCTTCAAGGCCGTTCCTGCCAACGAGCGGTACTGCTAGGTAGTACTTTTTTTCGTCGTCTTCGGATATTTTCAGTTCTGTGACGTGCCTACGTGCTCAGAATTCAGTTATTATTTCGTTTTTTGACGGGAATTAGTCGGGTTTATTCTATATTTATGATATTATACAGGGTGTCCCAATATTTAATGAACATAGAGCTACTGCGTATTTTTGGAATCGAAATAAGTTCATTGGAGAAAATTTACCTCTATACAAAAGAACTTCGTTTGTCCGTTATAGAGCATCAAACTTTAAAAAATACACACATTTTTAGGGTTCCGTACCCAAAGGAAAAAAACGGGAACCCTATTACTAAGACTTCGCTGTCCGTCCGTCCGTCTGCCACAAAGGTCTATCTTATGAACCGTTATAGCTAGACAGTTGAAATTTTCACAGATAGTGTACAGTATCGGACAAAATTAGAGCAACTATAGAAAAATGTGAATTTAACTCCCATCATTTATTTGAATCGGTTTATTTATTTTTGCAATGGAATGTTTTTTCAACCAAAACAGTTCGATTATTTGTTGACTTAAATGTATTTCTTATCGGTAAGTTTTTGAATGAAATTCTTGGACAAAATTAGAGCAACTTGATCTTTACTAGCGATGGGAACTATCGAATGAATTAGACTATCGAATGTTTAATGAATGAATGATTTCACCTATCGAACGGTTTTATTCGAATAAAATCATTCATTCATTTGTATACTAAAGCATATGTGACAACCTCGCCGTGCGACTAAATGGTTATCGTTGAGCCACGACTATCGAATGCTTTTGATAAATGAAATTTAGTATTCGTTTGATTTTTGTATGCTTCAGTGCATTATTAGTTCTTCCAAATTTTTATAACTTCGCCGTATAAATACTGTGCTATTTTTGCGTTTATTAAAATAGTTAAAATACTAAAATAGTAGTTATTTTTTAATTTTATTTATTGACGATTGTGTGCATGTGCAGGTGGTCAAAATTTTTCCGACAATTTGTGTGGTTTTCCGTAGTCCGATCTTTCAATTATTTAATTTTATATGATATATGGTCTATTTTTTAATGGGAAATTTTGAGAAGTAACAATTTTAAGAGAGATGAGATGAACTTACAATTAATTTTAAAAATACATATTTGTATTTTAGATGTTTTAATAATATGAATTAGTTGAACTTAATAATCATATTTAAGTAATGTGGTTAAGTAAATGGTTATTGAACTCAAACTATGGGGTGAGAAAATTAAAATGAAAGTTTTACACGTGCCAATTTAAAAAAAGTTATCGATGTTTGTATTTTGTTTATGCTAATTCTCTTACATGTAGTTTTTTTATGAAGAAATATTTCATTTATTTTTTAAAGTAAATGCCAGTAAAAGTAAATATAATTTTTCAACAGTAATATAAAGCACTTAATATAAATAATTTTGATTTCTAATTTTTTTATTTATATTTTTCTTCCATTACATTGTATGCTTAGAAAATTAATAAATGTTTATATTTCATGATTTTAAAATTTGTTGTTAATATAACAAATTAGTTCTGTAATTATTATTATTATTTAATAAACCAACGTTGCCCCCAAAAAAATTTAGAGAGTATATTATTTTTAAATAGGATCTAATATAAATAATTTTCACATCTAATTTGTTGTTTATATTTTGCTACTACTTAAAAAATATTTATATTAAATGATTTTAAATTTTGTTGTTAATAGGTATAACAAATTATTACTGTTATTATTATTTATTAAACCAGTCTTTGCTTAAAAACATTAAAAATCATTTTCCTACATCCAAAATAACAAGTATTATTGCAGTGTAACAACAGAATATTAATAAAATGCGGAATATATAGACATACTATCCCTAACTAACTAAAGTCAAACAATAATATTCTTTGCTAATATCAACTGATACCAAAATATGGCAACAGCGCCCTTCATAATGTATTTTCTGTATAAATACTAGCACCTCAATAAAAAAATGATGTGACCTTATCTATATCTGACTCCGCAAAAAATCAAAGATGCCTGCTTCTTTCATAGCATTGCCACCGACCGCTGTCGGGTTTCTCGGAAAGAAACCTACGTCGCCGTGCGACAACTAAAATTCAGTTAATATTTTATTATAATCGATCCTGACGAATAAATGAATGAATTTTATAAATGAATGGTTTTTGCTGCCGAATTACTAGAATACAATATTTCAAGGCAGATGACGGATCTATTCGATAATTTTTATTCGAATAGTTTTCAACGAATGTTTTCTTACTAACTATCGAATTATTCGAATGAATTGCAACTATCGAATGTTTCGATAGTATTCATTCGATAGTTCCCACTACTAATCTTTACGCAGTGTTAGTTTTCTGAGAGTGTTGATACAAGTAACCATTTTGCTCTAAGTGGAAAAAATCATAAAGTTGCTCTAATTTCGTCCGATACTGTATCTATGTTGCCGCTATAAGAACAAATACTAAAAACAGAATTAAATAAATGTTTATAAATAAAAAAGTACTTTCACTATTAACTAAACAATATCTTTTAAGAAAGAATTTTACATAGAATCTTTCAAGTCCTCGGTGGCCGCGTGGTTAAAGCGTTAGGACTTTACGCTGCTATGACGTTGGAGCCGTAGTAAGGCAGGTTCGAATCCTAGTCAAGGCGACTTTTTTTTAATCGTTTTTTTTTAATTTGTACATATTTTTACATCTTTTTTTTTACTTTTTACATATTTATTATTGATTAATACAATTTTTAGTAATGTGTTTCTTCATTTTTTTTTAATTACTTATACGCGCATTCAAAATTTCAGCTAAATCGGAAAAAAAAGTTTATAATAATATAGTGTCTAATGTTATATATAGATAATGAATGGTACGGAACCCTTCGTGCGCGAGTCCGATTCGCACTTCACCAATTTTTTCAGATATTTTACACTCAAAAATTGACACTAATTACAGAAAGATTAAAAAAGGATAAATATTATGACATATACTAAAAATTGTTTTCTTTCTTTTCAGGTAAGCATATGTCCTTCAATCACTGTTTTGAATTAATAACTCCTAAGAAATCATCAAGAAAAATGTTCAAAGGTAATACATTTTTTTTTGTTGAAATTACTTTGCTATTTACTTTCATTTGTATAGATATGCTATCTCATTAGTAGTCAACAACTTTATACAGGGTGAGTCTTAAATAAGTGCAAATATTTTAGGGGTAGTATATTTCGGCCCCAGAAACACGTCTATGATGTTTTTTCGCGAAAAAAGTTTTGAAAATTTGGAATATTTTGAAAAAAGATTTGGAAATTTTTTTTAAGTTAAAAAATTAATTTCTCCATATTTTGGCAACATAGCTAGTAGATTAAATTTACAAAACAGAAAACCCAGAAAATATCCGGTGATTTTCAAAATTTAAGCAAAAAATAATTTTCTTCTAATTCTAAAACTTACTTCGTGATCTTTTTGCCAATTTGTGAGTTGTTCAGCTGCTGCATCTCTTGTACACATTTTGGTAACTTATTTTTACGATTATTCTTATAATATTAAAATATAGTAAGATTGTGCAAGCGAGAATGTTATTTTTAACTGCAACTTCTTAGAAATTGCATGCCTTTTTATATGAAAGATAACTATTCTTATTATTGAAAAAATAACTAGCGGTGGGAAGTAAACTGACATAGATAAAATTTGGTTTTATAATTGATTGAAAGCCTTTTGTTTTCATATTTGTTTACTCATTATTTTTACGCACATTACAAATTAGTTTGATTGTTCCAATTTAAGAGTTGTTTGCTTACTAGTTTGAATAAATACAATTAGGTTTTGTTTAACTAAATGAATAAGAATAGTCTAATTGATTTTTTTTTCGAAGATATATCAAGATACTAATCGTTATCAAAATTAATTTTGAAAATAACAAGGTCATAGGTTTTTGTGTTTTCACAATAGGCTTTGTAATAATATACGGGATGTCCCAATATTCCGTAGACTTAGAACTACCACTAGTCTACCCCATACAGGGTAGCCCATCGAAAACGTTCCGCAAGGCATAACGGCTAGGGTATTCTTTTTTTCAAAAAATCCAAAAACACGTCAATTTTGTTTGTGAGGGGGACAACTTTTGCCCCAAAAATGGTTGCAAAATCTTCAACCCTCTCAGCGGGGGTGTCATCCCCCAACTTTTTTTCAAATGGGAAGGGGGATCAAGTGGCGCCGCAATGAAAAGGGCTTTCTATTCTCTATATTTCCCCGCCTCGTTTTTGAAAATCGGTCGAGTCATTGAGAAAATATGAAGGATTAAAATTTGAAAAGTTTATTTAAACATTTATCAGAGTAAATGATAAAGATAAATTCCTTCGACCAATTCGAGTTTTTTTCCTATTATTTTTTTCACTTGCCACAAGGTTGAACGATCAGGTGCGGTAGTTGCTAGATAGCTGTTCTGTGGCTTGTGCGTTGAAGTTCTTCTCAATATCGTTAAACTGATCCACAATAGAATTTCCAAAAATACCAGCCCACACGTTCAATTTCTGAGGGTTTTGTGTGTGCACCTCGTGAAAAACCCTGGTGTTGTCCTCAGCCCAGTACCGAGAGTTGTGCCGATTAACTACATCGTTCAAAAAGAAAGTACACTCATTGTCCAATTTTCTTGTACTGAGCGTACTATCCCTGGCAATTTGGCCCAATAGGAATACCTCCATAGCTTCATTTACTACAGAATTTTCCCTCGGCCTCTTTTTATTCATAACGGAACCAGTTTCGCGAAATTTTGCTACTAACTCGCGAACAATTTTGCTATAAAGGTGTTTGTCAGGATGGCGTTCATTGAATATCTGCGCAACCCGATTGCCACATTTATTATTTTTAAAATAAAGTTCGATTATTTCCACTTTTTCGGCAAGTGAGTACACCATAATAATTGTTAAAAAGTTTAATGATATTGAGAAGTTCAACGCATAAGTCACACAACAGCTATCTAGCAACTAACGCACCTGATCGTTCAACCTTTGTGGCAAGTGAAAAAATGCGTAAACATCTAGAAATAATAAGAAAAAACAGCAAATTGGTCGAAGGAATTTACCCTTATCATTTACTCTGACAAATGTTTAAATAAACTTTTCAAATTTAAATCCTTTATAATTTCCCAATGACTCGACCGATTTTCAAAAACGAAGCCGGAAAATATAGAGAATAGAAAGCCCTTTTCATTGCGGTACCACTTGACCCCCTTTCCATTTGAAAAAAATTGGGGGATGACACCCCCGCTTAGAGGGTTGAAGATTTTTCAATCATTTTTGGGGCAAAAGTTGTCCCCCTCACAAACAAAATTGACGTGTTTTTGAATTTTCTGAAAAAAAAAATTGCCCTGGCCGTTATGTCTTGCGGAACGTTTTCGATGGGCCACCCTGTATATTTGGAATCAAAATAAATTGCTTTGGCATCAAACTTAAGTTTGATGCTCTCTAGCGGACAAACGAAGCACTTTTGTATAGAGGTAAATTGTGTCTAATCAACTTATTTTAATTGCAAAAATATATCCACGGAATATTTGGGTTACCCTGTATAATAATGGATTATTAAAGTCCCATATATACATGACGTTTTACGTGTCAGGTAAAATGGATTAAAGTATACAGTAAAACTGTGAATCAAGGAAGCGAGATCAAAAGAATGTCCTCTGGAGAAATAGACAAACACACAAGACCTAATTATACAACCACCAAGGAACTGTTTACCCCTGTTTAGCAGAAATAAAGTGCGAATTATAACAGGTCTCTTGACAGAACATATATGTCAATGTCATATGTCAATCTCTAGTTAATGATGTCTAGAGATTTACTCAGACGTTTTTGACGGCGTTTTTTTTGGTCCTGCTGTATTTTTTCTGTCAAATCGAAGAAACTGTCCTTATTCTCCCTATTTTTTAATTTCATCTCTAGGAAGTGTGGAATAATAAAATTACTAAATATCAATATATTTTATAACATTTCAAAATAAATTAAAATAAGTTATACATTTTTATAGATTTTCATAAAACAAAAAAATCGTTATGCATCTCCGTCAAGGCCGTCAATATTTTATTACCATTGTGATTTGTTTTTTCTTATTTGCTGGTTATCGCTACGGAAATTATAATATGATTGCATTTCGTAATCTCTAAATTGCACTTCTCTGACGTTCGTGGCTTTTTCAACGCCACAACTTCCTTTGCACTCATGGGAAAATAAAAAAATATATATTTTTTTATCTTATACAGTGTGTTTCAAAAAACGTGTGCTATTCCTTGTGGGGAGATTCCTCACGTAAAAATTACTATTTTTTTAGGGTCCCGTACCTCAAAATGAAAAAAAAAAGGAACCCTTAAGGTTGATTCTCACTATACTTTCCTTTTTCAATCCATATCCATTCCATATTCGTTCCGTATTTTTATTGTATTGACGCTATACGTAAGCCATAAATTTATATCTTTACGAAAGTTTTATTTTAAAAATTTGTATCTTTTGAAAAAGGTACATAATAGATTTAATTAAGAGGTGAAATAATAAAAAAATACATATCAGCAAAATGTTAACAGAGCTGGTACAAACGTAAGACCTTGACAACGCTGTTTGGTTTGGTTTGGAGAAGGAGTAATTTTAATTAACACCTCCAAACTGTTTTCTGAAGGCTGAAAATTTGTAGATAACATTCGAATGCAATGTAAAACAGAAATATAACAGTCAGACAGAGCAGTGTGTGCACACAAAGCGTCTGCGCTATCTCAAACGCGCTGTCAAAAAGATGTCACTCAGAGTGATTTCTGAAGGCTGAAACGTTGAAAGGTAATAGTGAAAACAATATATTTCTTAATAAAACCAGTCAGACTCGTCGATAATAGAACCCCGTCAGTCAGCAGCTGATGAAAGTGAGAATAGTGACAGCGCATGTATAGGCGGGTCTTCACTCAATATACAGGGTGAGTCTTAAATAAGTGCAAATATTTTGGAGTAGTATATTAGTAGTACCCTATAAACACGATTATGAGTTTTTTTTTCACGAAAAATAAAATTTGAAAATTTGTAATTTTTTAAAAAAATTCTTGGATTTTTTTTTAGTTTTTAGTTAAACAACATCATTTCTTCCTAATATTGCAACATAGGTAGAAGATTAAATTTACAAGAAAGAAAACCCAGAAAAGATCCAGTGGTTCTCAAAATTTAAGCAAAAAACTATTTTTTTGAAATGTTCAAAGTAAAATAACTCGGTTATTTTGGACTTATTTGAAAAACGGTAAAGAGAAGTTTCTTTTATAGAGACCTACGAGCCCTGAAAATATTTGCACTTATTTAAGACTCACCCTGTATATATATCCATATTCGTCATTAATTTCACACAAAGCACGCACACACACAAAAGTACGAAATGTGCGATGTAACTTAAATACTTTTTTTAATTTACATAGTACCATTTTAATTAGCATTTACATAGTTTTTTAATTTACATTAAAACATGCATTGAACATCAATGTTTTAAATTTTAATAATATGTAATAATAAATTAGATTAAATAAATAAATAATTTATTATTTTAATTTTATTAATTGTGATTAATAAAAGTGCGTTTATCTCATCAAGGAGATCGAAATCGAGAAAACATCAAGAGATAACTTTTAATTGGCATTAAACGGCCTACACAAATGTGCTAACAATAGAAAAAAGTCAGTAGCGCACACATACTTATTGTGCTATTATTGTTTCATTTACTTAGATTATAATTATTTTCAGAATTATTTGTTTTTTTAAAGCAACCTTCGCCATAAAGTCCGTCACTTTTAAACGATGTAAACAAAGTCATTAGGAACATCTGTTGTCTGTCTTATCTAAATTGTATACTTGGCTGCATATAGTAGAATAGTATGGATATAATTTAATTCATTATTAAAGTAGATTACAGTTTTTACCTACAAATTTTACACTTTTTAATTTTTATACTATACTCAGATGCAAAAAACGCAACCAAAAATTTTTGCGTCAAGTGCTATATATTTTTTTTATTTTTAGCCCTATTTCCATGAATTTTTTAACAAACTGTATATAAATCTATCAACTTTAAATCGTAAAATAATTTTTTATGAACTTCGGTATTTGGCTTATTATACAGGGTTAATCGAAGGTTTTCTTTTACCTTATCTTTAAAATACCCTGTGCAATAACTTCGTTAGCAAATTTTCCTAAAACATTATTTTTCGGTCAGAACCATGTCACATTTTGTTTTTTGGTTCATGTCAACACATGCCGTGGTTAATTTTTAAGAGCGAAATGAAGTTGCTACCAGCAATTTGCACTTTTTTAATTATATCATTACTTTTTATGTTAGTTTTTAATATGACGAGATGGCTTAAGTTGACCAATTAATCAAACAAAGAGACTTAGGTATTAAATTTTATTTTACTGAAATTTTACAAATCATATTTAGTATTATCACCCCATATTTTTTTTTCTTTTCATTAAATTTGCTCTAGAACATAATAAACATACATATTAAAAGATCATCATGGAAGCTATTAAATTATGAGTAATTATTTTTAAGCTTTAAGTTGACCCTTCACACTGTCCAAATTTAGTGCCTTTGCTAATCTGTCACCCAGATCTTCACTAACGTTGGTGAAAACTTCTACTGCTCTTTTTTGAATATCTTCTTTGGTACATTCCAGGGAACATGCCAAGTTATTTACCTGAAATAATGTACTTTTATATGACGTGTTGATGGAAGAGTCCGAAATCATTCCAGAATTCACAAAATATAAACTCACCACTCTTGTTTTTTCATCATCATCCAAATCGTTCTCCCAGTATGATTTTGGTTGGGAATAGTTATCATCCTGGTAATATTCTGGATAGTAGTCTTCTTTTCCGGAGAATTCCTGAGGTGGGTTGGTCCATTGCGCCGCATCTGGATCAGGGTTAGGGCCTCCAAAACTATTGGGATAGTAATTTGGTGCTCCGCCTTGGTTGTAGATGCACATGGCGCCGTCCCTTTGGAAGTTAGCAGTCTATAAAGGCAATAAAGGTATATGTCAGAAATGTCGAACAGTCATTAATATATAAAAAAATAATTGATAAGGGCCACAAAAATCATTAAGCATTGGCAAGTTTTTGTCCTAGAAAACTATAAAAACATTTCTATAACAGATATACCCAATATCTATTCGTCAAATAAATTATTACACTTGCTATTGTGTTGTAATTGTGTAATGTTGTAATGTTGTAATTGTTTAAATACTTTTAAATCGAAAAATAATTGTAAAGTTTCATTCAGAACCTCGCAATTAATGAAATAAATTAGTGATTTCAATTAGCGTAGAAGTTTGTTCCTTTAATTTCAATGTAAAGCATTCGGAACATCAAAATTAGTGGTAGACATTTTTAATTAGAAGAAAAAGTTAACGAAGTCTTATCTTTTCTACTAATTATATTTCAAAATTTGTGAGACATATGATTTTAGCCTTAGATTATCTTCCGTCAAGAGAAATTGTCGTTAGAAATCAAAAGTTGATTGTTTTATAAGCTAAATATTAGGCTTTCTCTATGGATACAACTGACTAACCCAAGCTGTTGCTAGGATATTCTATTAATTTTAATTGTGTTTTTTAAACATTGTGAATGATCGTAAACTAAAAAGTATAAAGTGTAATTGAAACCACTAATTTTTTCCACTAATTGCGAGGTTGTGAATGAAGCTTAAATGTCAAAAAAAATTGTACAACGCTAACATACCTACTTCATATCGTCCCATTGCTGCCAAAAGTCACTTACTTTTTATTACTTCCGAGAAAAATGCGTCTAAAGATGATTTGCATTGCATAAAGATGTTATAGTTAGTAACTATTCGGTATTAAAATAAAACATAAATAGCCAGAAATCGTAGTTAATGACTTTTGCAATCTATTCTCCGATTCAAAACATAGTTAGTGATAGAATTTGGTTGTTCGGAAAAATGTTAGTGACTTTTGGCAGCAATAGGACGGATATCTACTTCATCAATTAAAATGTTGGACCGATTTTTGAAGTAATTTCATTTAATTATTAGTAATATTACTAATTTTATTTAATTAGACCTCTAAACGGCAAGATTTATTATGAAATTTTTGTACAAGTGACAAAAATTCGCTGTTCGAATACATTTCATTGGCAAACTCTAGTGCAGAACTAGGTTCTTCTAATTGACTATATCTTCATTCCCGAGAATCTATAATCGTTGTCACAGAAAATTTTGCTGTTTTGTATTTTTTTTGAAATAGTTGTATGTTCATCAACTTATCCAATTTATCTTCTAGTTCTTTCCAAATTTCTACCGACATTTCGATCTGCAGTAAGTACTTTACACTTTGTCATTAGATAACACTAATTTCATGCTCGACTTAAAACTATTTCCGAACAATAGTGTTTTGTTCTATTAGGAGTAAAAGTTATACTTTTTTGACGAGCCTGTACGTTTGACGGACCAGCGTAAAGCTAGTCCGACATTACAGGGAGGCACAAAAAGTACATTTTTACTCCGAATAGAACATATTCTTTTTTTTTCAAACGTTACAAATAATTTTTTAATCAATTTCAAAATTTTCAAATAATTTAAAGGTTTCCATTTGTATTAAACCCAGTGGTGTTTACAAAAAAAACTTTTTTTTGTAGATTTTCTTTTTGTGGCAAAAATCCCCGAATTCTTTTTTAGAAATACGTATTTGACTTTAATAACTAAATTGTTTACTTACACCGTTGGTGGGTGCATTGACAGCTAGCTGACGGTTATTGACACCCAGGCGGTACCTGTGGGCATCTTGGTAGGCAAACAAACGGCCCTGTAGCAATCTGTCAGGCGAATCTCCTATGCCCGGTATCAAATTGCTGGGACTGAAGGCCAATTGTTCGATTTCAGCAAAGTAGTTCTCTGGATTGCGATTCAGCACGAATTCTCCCACTTTCTGCTTTGGAAAATCATCTTCAGGCCAAATCTAAGAAGAAGAAGAAATTATTAACCGAAACATACCGTGTGGTGCATCGGAACACGGGACATCCCTAGGAAATTCCATGTATATTTTGAAAATGTCAAATATTATATCTCTAGATAATTTGATGCATAACTTGTACTTTCATCTAGAATCGTTATTTAAATGTTATTTGCGAAAAATCTACCTTCAAATTACTAAAAATTTATAATACGGTCCAGAGAAAGCTACAATTAAAATACCAGCAAAAATGTGATTTTGTCATTGTCAAATTCGATGTCACATTTCTTTTTATCAAAGGTACCAAATAGAGTAATTTTGTGTAAAATATGATTTTCACAACTTCCGAAAAAATTACGATGGTTAAATGGCATTTTACTTGAAATAATATTAAGATTTGAAACAAAATCCTGTTGAACGAAAAAGGTGCGACTTATGCAAGATTGATATTCCTATTTATTTTCCTTTACTTCACTTTCCACTCATTGTGTAAATGCGGTAGGTACTAGCAATATATTCTTATAATATATTTGGTTTCAATAAAAGATGTTCTCTAGATTCTAGCCACCCTATCTTGGTTAAGTTTAATTTGAGCAAAAATAGTATAGAGACCATTTTTATGTAAAATTGGACGCTCAACAACTTTTTGACAACAATTTGAACTTTTTCTCTAGCCCTTACCGTTTCTCCTTTAAAAAATCTTTCACAATTCGTTTTTAGATCTTTCAAAGTAACTTATATAAAATTCAACTTTTTACCAAAACTTCCTATTTGAAGGCCTTCAACGATGTTTCACAAAGAACCAATCACAGATTTGGTACTATTTACTCCAGGTTTACTTTTCTCTTTGAGGTAAATAAAAACTTTTTACGAATTTACCTTGGTTATGTCAAATGGATCGAAATCCAAAGCTTTGGCTTGATCTGTTGTCATGAGCTGTACATAGAACGTCCATGATGGATAGTCTCCATTGGCTATAGAGTTGTATAGGTCTCTTGTGGCGTAATCAGGGTCTGTACCAGCTAATTTTACAGCCTCATCTGTGTCGAGGTTTTCAGTACCTACAAAATAATTAACTTTGAGAATTCAGAAGATTTCTGTTAAAATTTATAAGTAATACATAAAATAAACGCGAGATTTTATTTTATTTTGATGACCAAGTATCGCCTGAACATACATCATTCTTCAGTCTACATTGGGTTTAGTAGGCGTTTTAAAATACAGGGTGAGTCTTACATGAGTGCACATGTTTTTACACAGGGCTAGTAGACGTACCGTTTTTTTAAGTTCAAAATAATCGAATTATTTAAGTTTGAAAATTTATATAAAGCAAACCTGGTTTTTTATTTACATTTTGAGAATCACTGTATTTTTTCTACCTATGCTGCCATATTATGAAGATAATATGTTATTTAACTGTACCTATATTAAAAAACAAATAATAAAAATAGGCGCACTTATTTAAGATTCACTCTGTATACATAATATTTAACTGAGAGACACTTACCCTGGTTGGTTTCGTAAGTGAATTTGCACCAAGTTAGCTGACGGTTTTTGTCAATGAGCGAAAAGGTGTGACAGCCATATCCATCTTGGTATCTGTAGCCATTCGGGATTCCTTTGTCAGCATACAGACGCAAAGTCTGTGAAAAAAATGTCATTCTATATAGTAATATAATTTGTTCAAACTCATAGGTATATAGAGTTCGATTTTTAGAAGATAAATACAGGGTGTCCCAGAAATAAGTGCAGGTATATTGACTGTTAGTATAGTTCGACTCCAGAAACACTCCCCTGATTTTTTTCTTGCGAAAAAAAATTTTAATACTGAATAAGTTATTTCTAAATTTCAAATTGACTTACTTGATATACGGTCATGGGATTTAGCGTCAAAAAGTCCCAGTAAGCATCCCAATCCCTCAAGTTGGTGACAGGATTACTTTTCTGACTATGAATAAGCATAGGGAACAGCATAGGGTCCTTAACGAAAAATATGGGAGTATTGTTTCCTACCAAGTCCCATATACCATCTTCGGTGTAGAATTTTAGCGCAAAACCTGAAGATATTCATAGAGATTTTACATAAAAACATATAAGCATGTTACTTTTTAGATATACATTACCTCTGATGTCTCTTACAGTATCAGCAGATCCCAAACTGCCATTGACTAATGAGAATCTAAAATTAGAGTAGTTTTAGTCACAAATTTAGAGATTCATTGCATCAGTAGACTTAAGCTTCAATCAGAATCTCACAATTAGTGGAATAAATTAGTGGTTTCAATTATCTACACTTTATACTTTTTAGTTTACGATTATTCACAATGTCTAAAAAACAATTAAAATTAATAGAATATCCTAGTAACAGCTTGCGGTGGTCAGTTGTGTGAAGAAGTAGAGAAAGAGATAGAGAATAGAGAAAGCCAAATATTTGGCTTATAAAACAATAAAGTTTTGATTTCTAACCACAATTTCTCTTGATGAATGATAATCAAAGGTCAAAATAACATTCCCCGCAAATTTTGAAGTATACTTAGTGGAAAAGTCATAAGTTTGTTAACTGTTCCTTCTAATTAAAAATGACTACCACTAAATTAAACGTTCTGAATGCTTACACTGAAATTAAAGGAACAAACTTCTACGCTAATTGAAACCACTAATTGCTAGGTTCGGAATGAAGTTTTATAGTGTTAATTGAGTATTAACTTAAGTATTAGCAAATATGTATAAGAAACAGTAAAATATTTGAATTTGAGAAAGCTTTATCCAAGTAGATTATTTCTCTAATGATTTATACAGGGTGAGCTATGGGTATCTCGGGAACTACTGGAGAGAGAGAGTCGGTTAAACGGGGAAAGAATTGCAGTTTTGTAGGGTCATAAATATGCGCCTTTCAGATTTTTTAAAAAGTTCATGGCTTACTAGATATTTAGAAAAAAACAAATTTCGGCTATTTTAAAAATTGTCCCTAATTCCATTATAAGCTATTTTAGACAAAAAGTTTTCAGATAAAAGTTGTAGATAATCACATCCTTAATGAGATCGTGTCCTCCGTTTTTTTCTAAAGCCTGTCATTTTTGACATATCTGCCATAGTTGACCATGACTTCATAAAAAGCGCCATTTTTTAAGCTTTTTAGCGATATAAGCTGTAATATGTTTTCTTCGAAAAATTACTGAGTTATAGCCAATTCTTATCATTTTTAAATAATTTCACTTAGTTAGCCATGGAAACAATCGTCTTTGCTCTTATAAATGTGAAGCTGCCACATCCAAACTTTGTAAATTAAAGTAAACAAAAATTGTAAATATGAATTTTTCAAATGAAGAAAAGCGTGTAAGATTATTGGTTCAACTTTTCTTGACCATACATTTTCGAGGATACGTTGACCGGTGAATGTTATGTTTTTTAGAGAACGATTTTCAAGACTTGTTAGAAAAGTTAAATTTAGTTATAGCCAATTCTTATCTTCCTTGACTATAATTTCACTTAGATTGCATGGCATTCTTATTCTATTGTGATTTATAACTTATAAAAAGCCAGAATATATTACTAAACAGTTCTTTAGAATTTACATTACACAAACTAAAACTTAAAAAAATAATATCGCTGCAGTCACTGCATACACTTTAAGTTATTTTAGAAAATGTTCAAAATATCCGCCATTGTTTTGAGTTACATCTTTTTAAAACTGAATTATTACCTATTCTCACAAAAGGGCCGGTTGGCTTAATTAAACTTCTCTCGTACCGCCACTTCGAGTGCCTCTCTTAATTCATAAATTCTTTTGTAAACCTTATTTTTAACCATACCGCATAAAAAAATCTAAAATGGGTAGGTCAGGTGATCGAGGAGGCCCATGCAATTAGTCCGCCTCTTCCTATCCCTGAGTTTATATTATTATGATATCAATAATTTTTAACATTTTATGCAGGGGGGGAGGGGCATAATGAAAGTCATTTTGGAAACACTCTATTGATGCGCGAGTATCTACACGCTTTTCTTCATTTGAGAAATTCATATTTACAATTTTTGTTTATTTTAATTTACAAAGTTTGAATGTGCCAGCTTCACATTTCTGAGAGTAACGGCGATTGAACTTGTTTCCATGGCTAACTAAGTGAAATTGTTTAAAAATTATAAGAATTGGCTATAACTCAGTAATTTTTCGAAGAAAACATATTATAGCTTATATCGCTAAAAAGCTTAAAAATGCCGCTTTTATGAAGTCATGGCCAACTATGGTTTGCATTTAAAAAAAACATATGTTTGTGTGATATGTCAAAAATGACAGGCTTTAGAAAAAAAGAGAGGACACCATCTCATTAAGGATGTGATTATCTACAACTTTTATCTGAAAACTTTTTGTCTAAAATAGCTTATAATAGAATTAGGGACAATTTTTAAAATAGCCGAAATTTGTTTTTTTCGAAATATCTAGTAAGCCATGAACTTTTTCATAAATCTGAAAGGCGCATATTTATGACCCCACAAAACTGCAATTCTTTCCCCATTTAACCGACTCTCTATCTCCAGTAGTTTCAGAGAACATCGTAGGAAATTCATCCTGTATAGAATTCAAAAAGTTTATAAATGCAATTTTGTCTTACCTCACTGCAATAGGAGTCTTAGTCCCTTCCACAAACACCTTAGAAACAGTGTAATCTTCTAAAGAAGCGGTACATGTGAATTCTCCAAATGCACCAGCACCTTTGGCATGTACGACTCTTTCAGGAATACGTTCCCTTTAATTTAAAAGAAGCAACATTTTATAATTCTTTAAATAAAAATGTGTGTTGAAAAAATATATCTTTATAATTTAACGAAATACTGTAATGCAGATCATCAGCATTAAAACTAAAGTTTTAATCATCTGAACAGTTACCTATTAAAATGTTGCAAGTGTTCCATCATTTGATAATCCCTAAGAGGTATCACACCCCTCACACCGATCGTCAAACTAGTGTCTGCATTCACTATACCAATTCCTGCACTGTTTTTGGCATAACCAATAGTGTCCTAAGAATAACAAATATTTGTTAGAGTGTATAAAAAATAACTTAAAACTAGCTCCGAATTTTACATGATTGATAAAAGTAATCTACGAGGCATGTTTTTTAAGTAAGTACCGTTTTGCGATTCCGCCGCCGCAGCGCTACGGTCGGCGTTCCGCGCATGCGCGCTAGTTACCTGCATCTCTTGTCTATGCACAGACGCCAGTATAGTCTGATTCTTCATTGTATACGTTGTTTATTGAGTGTTTAAGATGCCTCCGACAATCGTGAGTCCCGCCGATTGTGAAGTACGGGCTGTCATTCAATTTCTTAGTGCTAAAGGCGTAAAACCGATCGATATTCATCGTGAGATCTGTGAAGTTTACGGACAAAACATTATGAGTGATGGAATGGTAAGGAAATGGGTGAGAGCATTTAACGATGGCCGCACAAATGTGCATGATGAAGAACGGAGTGGGCGTCCTTCGGTCGTTAATGAAGATTTGGTGCAGAAAGTGGACGAAAAGGTGAAAGAAAACAGACGCTTTACAATTTCATCATTGTGCGACTACTTTCCTCAATGTTCTCGTAGTGTTTTGTATCGCATTGTGACCGAGAACTTGAATTACCGGAAATTGTGTTCACGTTGGGTTCCGAAAATGTTGCGGGATTTGCACAAAACCCAACGTTTAGGCAGTGCATTGACTTTCCTTGAGCAGTACCACAATGAAGGTGAAGATTTTTTAGACAAAATTGTTACTGGTGGCGAAACATGGGTGGCCTACGTCACACCAAAATAGAAACAACAGTTCATGGAATGGCGATATTCATCATCACCCAAAACAGTGAATTTTAAGCAAACAATTTCTGCCCGGAAAATAATGTGCACAGTTTTTTGGGACAGAAAAGGAGTATTGCTAGTGGAGTTTCTGCCGCGTAATGAGACAATCAAGGCAGCATCTTATTGTAAGATATTGAACAATCTGCGCCGTGCAATCCAAAACAAAAGACGTGGCAAGTTGGAGTAAGGGTATTGTTTTGCTGCATGATAATGCCCGTCCACATGTGGCTAATCGGACCAAAGATGTCATCAAATCTTTTAAATGGGAAACTCTAGATCATCCTCCATACAGCCCTGATCTGGCGCCCAGTGACTACCATTTATTCCTGCACTTGAAGAAACACCTGGGCGGTCAGCGTCTTCAAGACGATAAGAAGTCAAAACAGTTGTGATACAGTGGTTAACCAGTCAGGCGGTAGAATTTTATGAGGAGGGTATTGAAAAACTGGTGCCACGTTATGACAAGTGCCTCAATATTCACGGAAATTATGTAGAAAAGTAGATTAAGGTACAGGTTTTCATGTAAAAATAAAATTATTGCGATATCTTTGCATGTTTTTTTTTTTTAATTCCAAAACGGTACTTACTTAAAAAACATGCCTCGTATATCCTAAATAGTGATGAGCGAATTCTTAAGAATAATAAATATTTTTTGAAATTTTTCAGTTGTAACAAAAAAATTGACTACTTTCAATTTCAAGCTTTAAATTTTGCAAAAAGAAGATTGTAAGTAAATACAGCAAAGTTGAAATTAAATTTTTAATTTTCTTTAGTTTCTAAAACTTACTGCATTATCCTTCTGCCAATTTGTTAATTGTTCAGCTGCTGCGTCTCTGGTACACATTTTGATGATATTTTTTTGAATATTATTAATATCAAATATATTAATATCACACAACCGAAAATGATTGTTTATGCTACAATTATCAAATTCTACCCCCTTTTATATATGCATGCAAACGAATATCTTGATCATGGAAGAGAAAAAAATAGATAGGGCTGATTAAAGTACGTCTAGATAAAAAAATCCATTTTTATATCGATTTCGAAATCTTTTGTTCTTTTTTTGTTTATTTACTTAAATATCTTTTAATGAACACTTGAAGTTGAATGCAATTAACGAATTTAAATGAGGGGTCTCGGTCGTCTAATTATTGGTCATCAGTAATTTTGGAAATATTGCGAAATTTTTTATTGTTTTTTTTTAAGTACCTAAAATGTAAAATTTTTCCATAGGGGTTAAAACAAAAAAAAAGAAAACTTTTAATAGAGTCATATTAACTGTACTCAATAAAGCCGTTTGGAGGAGAGCTTTGGGGTAGTTCTAATTTCTCCTATTTATTATGTTTTTGGGGGTGCTGAATTGGAATCTGAGGTTTGCTAACAAAATTTCGTGAACGAACATGGTGATTGTGGAACCATCAAGGGCGTAGAAAGACCGATGAGTATGCAAAGAAAGCCATCTACTGCAATATTATTTACTGAGTCCATAGTAGCTATACTGTCTGACAGAAAAGGCAAAAATTGTATTACTACAAGCTAAGGAGGATGCCGAGGTCCTTATTGCGAGAAGCACACGTTGGCCTCATTAAATAATGACGTCACAATAAGAGGGTGATTGGTAATTTTGATTTGCCTATGAAGCCCTCTATAAAGATGTCTTCTTTCTAAAACCAGGCAAAGGACAGGTATCTCAAATACTATACTAACACATATTAGGTTATTGATTATTTGTTGTTAAATTGCTGAACTACATGGGAATATTTTAGTGTAAATGTAGTAAACCTTATTAATATTCAATGCGTTCAAACATCCGTCTTGTAGATGTCGCCGCTTATACCCATTTCATTAAATAAATCTGGTATGCGGATAAAAAATATCTTCGATTTAAGTAAATTTACTTCTACATTTATTCTTAACTTTTGCAAATAACGACGGCAGCCTGTGGTTTAAAATTTCACCATACATCTTATTAGTTATTATATTTTGTATGAATTAAATTGGTGCTAGGTAAGATTTATCCATAATATTTAAGATCAGCAAATCATTTATATAATTTTCTAGCCATTATAGCAAAGAGTACAAAAGAGAGAGAGAAATACACGAGGAACTTAAACTATCGCCTTTTACTTCATCAAACCGACCCTCAAAATTTCCCCCTGTTACAACTTGTCAAAAACTAACAGTATAGAAAAATAAAAAAAGGGTAGGACGTTTGCAAAAACACAAAACTATTTCCAAAAGTTATTTTTTCTGGAATTTTAACTATACCATTTAAAAATAATTTTACTGGATATAAAATAAATTACAACTTTCTTAAGGCGGTATTAAACAATAAATATGAGTATGTGCCAAGTTAATGGCGTCTTGAGCTTGACCTCGCCAAAATTATCATCGATTGTCATTCCCCAGCCGTCTTTGACACCGTTTTTTCTTCGATCGTATGGTCAAAGTTTACAGAATAAAATATTTCTGTAAACTTTGGTATGGTATATGTAGTGATATAAAATTACCGGTAACTTATAAATCGGTAATAATAATAATAGCTCCCGTATATAGCATCTGACGCATTGGGAGTAGCAATGTACAGCTTGCTATGCTAGAGCCGTTCGGTATACAAGGAAGGTAATGTGGCTAGCACTACGCTTCAACCGCCTATTATTACCTCAGGATTGTGAATCCCAAGTACTCATTTAAGGCTGAGTCGACCTAGGTACCCAAACCATTTTTATTTTAATAAAAATAGTCAGCTGATGAAATGCCTGGTGTAGGATTCGAACCAACTACCTTGAGATTGGTAGACGAGAGCCTGTACCTATACGCCACCGGTCACCTTAAATCGGTAATATTATGTAATATTACGGTAACATGGTAATTTAAAGAAAAAGCTTTTTAAATATTATTTTTTTTTATTTCAAAACTGTAAAAACATTACAAAAGGAAGACGCTAGTCGACTGAAGCTAGTCAGAGTCAGAGTGGCCTATATTAGAGTACATACAGATAATAGAGTGGATAATGGTAAATTATCCTCAAACTCGTCATCCGGTTCTTTTTTCTCTTTCGTTAATTGAGTCAGGTATTTTACTTCCAAATCGATATATTCTTCTTTTCCCATTTCTTTCTCAGCTGCTTGTACCATTCTTGGACGTTCTTCTCCATTTAGTAAATTATAATTATGGGTAATATAAGATAAGTAAATTTCCGACTCTTTCCACGGAAAGTCTGTTTCTTCCTGGCCGATGATCAAATCCATAAGTACTAAAGGATCTTTCAGTTGCGGCCGTTGATGATGGTAAATTTAAAATGGCCAAAGCCAATATACCCATTTTAGAGCTGAGCAAATGAAAAAGTGTAGCGCGAAAAAAAAGCAATATTTCCAGTGTTAACGCTATTGCGGTAATATTACTTAATATTACCAAAATTACCGGTGATATTACCGCGGTAATATTACCCTTTACATCACTAGGTTGTAATCTATAAATATGAGTAATATCCTTGTATATATATTTTTAAAGTAGATCAACCTAAGACGTTTATGGACTAAAACTACTAGATGGCAGGACCGGTTTCCCTACAGAAATATTTTTTTTGTTACTCTGAATTTTGAAGCTACCAATAAAAACAGAGAAAATAAAAATCGATAATTTTCGGACTGTGCCAATTGGTTACTAATCGACCAGATACTTTTTGTCTCTTAGATATGCTATAAAAGCTGGCAATATATATACAATTCGACCATTGTAAATACCCGACAAATTCTTCAACGCCGACGAGGCCGATGTTTCTCACTGATAAGAAATAGAAATGTTTGTTTAGATAATTTTCGAGGTATTTTTTCTTTCTGAATGCATATTTTAAAGTATTTTATATTCTTTGTCCCCTTGACCTATTATCCTGGTTCCACGTATGGAAGTTCTGTTTCTTCTAGTTTTAGAAAATGTTCTTATTTCTTTTTTCTTTGCAGTTGTAGGGTAAAATTAGATTAATTTATTGAGTTTAATTATAGTGTTTAGTGTAGCATGTTAGTGTAGTCTACCAAAAATAGTTTAGTAGTGTTTTTATAGTTTATTTTGTAGTTAAGTAGTAGGTGAAGGGATAATTTAGTTATTTTTTCTTTTTGTTTGATAAATTAGTAATCAAATTGATAGTTTGTTCAGTGTAGAATACAAGAATAAGTAGTTGTGTAGTGTTTTTAAGAGATTATATTCGTTTATTTTGTAGTTGAGTAGTAGCTGAAGGGGTATTTGGGTATTTCTTCTTTTTGTTTTTCTTGTAATTGTAGTAGTTCTATTAAGTATTGTGATAGATACACTGTATCTTCCTTCAACTTCGTTGAAAAGTGCGTTATCATATATAATCTTGGTTTTCTGGTAGCAGAATATACGAAAAAAAATCTGATCTAATTTATTTGAAATTAAATTAATCTATTCTTATTAATCAAATTAAACTAGTCAAATAATAATAATAGTTAGTTTCAAAATACTATACAGGGTGAGTTTCCTACGATGTTCTCTATGGGTATCTCGGAAACTACTGGAAATAGAGAGTTGGTTAATGGGGAAAGAATTGCAGTTTCGTGGGATCATAAATATGCGCCTTTCGGATTTTTTAAAAAGTTTATCGCTTACTAGATATTTCGAAAAAAAACAAATTTTGGCTAGTTTAAAACTTGTCCCTAATTCCATTATATTTTAGACAAAAAGTTTTCAGATACAAGTTGTAGATAATTACATACCTAATGAGTTTGTGTTTTCTGATTTTTTCTAAAGCCTGTAATTTTTGACCATAGTTGGCCATGACTTCATAAAAATCACCATTTTTAAGCTTTTCAGCGATATAGGTATATGTGTTTTTATCGAAACACATTTACAGTTAGATACAGAGTTATAGTTATAGCCAATTCTTTTCTTTCTTGGCTAATTTCACTTAGTTGGCATGGTATTCTTACTCTGTTATGATTTATAACATAAAAACACAGAATATATTATTAAACGGTTCTTTACGATTTACATTATGCAAACTAAAACTACTTCATAATATCACTACCCCATACACTTAAGTTATTTAGAAAATGTTCTCCCGTACCGCCACTTTGAGGGGGCCCATGCAATTGGTCCACCATCCACCTCTTCCGATCCCTGCGTTTGCATAATTGTGCTATAAATAATTTTTAACATTTCTTTCATTACGGGGGGGGGATTTTCATAATGAAAGTCATATTGCAACCACCCTATTGATGTTCGACTATCTAAATTTAACTTTTCTAACATATCTTGAAAACCGTTCTCTTAAAAACGTAAATAACGTTCACGACGTTAGGAGGACGCAATCTCATTAAGGATGCGATTATCTACAACTTTTATCTGAAAACTTTTTTATTAAAATAGACTATAATGGAATTAGGGACAATTTTTAAAATAGCCAAAGTTTTTTTTTCGAAATATCTAATAATCCATGAACTTTTTCAAAAATCTGAAAGCGCATATTTATATGACCTCACAAAACTGCAATTCTTTCCCCATTTAACCGACTCTCTATCTGCAGTAGTTTTCGAGAAACCTATAGAGAACGTCGTAGAAAACACCCTGTGTATTGAAAATACTGAAGACCATAATATGAAACAGAATAAAAAATAAATTTTGCATTATCTAATTAAATTATTTTCCTGATACATTTTTTTAATGAAAATGTACTTGAATTATTTCAGTTAGACATGTATCCTGCTTTTAGAAAGTTTTATGGTTTAACGGGATTTGTGTGTGAGTTAAAATAATGAAATTTTTAGTTTTTATAATTCTTCACACATAAAAATTAAAGCAAACTTGATTTTATAACTCTGGCCATATTTTACATTAATAAAGATTTATTTTAATGTCAAATAATATTGAAGCAAATTGAAATTTTTTGAACATTTAATCAAGAATGTA